TTAGGTAGGGATGATTTTAAGAAAATTTTAATTGACACACAGCTTCTAATATTTGGCTTTTAATTTGGTTTTATGGGGGTTTTTTGTTCTTTGATGTATTTTGTTTGTCTGTTTTAATATGCTGTGCACCGCCCTGAGTCCTACGGGAGAAGGGCGGTATATAAATTAAATTATTAAATTAAATTAAATTAAATTAAAATTCTACATTATTCGTCAGAGTCTAATGAGAAGTCTGTGTGACAATGGGAAAGTTCAAAATATTTTTCTAAGACTTTCTGGTCATTATAAACCATCTCAATATAAGTCCCCCCCCCCCAAAAGGTCGGACAATGTTGATTTTGGCAGTTGCTGAATGGATGGGAATTAAAAGCTAGTTTATATATATATATCTTTATGAATCTTTATGAATCTTTATGGATCTTTATGAATCCACTTTCCTCCATCACCATTGATTAACAGATCAAACATGGATTCAGGAGGTTCAGATTCAGGTCCTCACTTGACCATATAGTTACGGAGTAACCTTGGAGTAACTTTGGGCCAATATTTCAGCATCAAAGAAAAAGGGAGGATATGAGTGCAATAAAAAATAAGCATGGTGCTGCAGTGAGAAGCCCCCTCTCTGTTTCATACCTCTTCAACTGGGAGCTTGGAGAAAGTCAATTACAACGTAAGACTTCACACCAATAAAACTATTTTCCACGGTTGAATTTTTTTTCCAGGCCAAAGATTTCCGCCTGTACAGTCAGGAAGTTCTGGACTTTGGAAGGCACGTCTCCTTTCTTCTACTTCTTCCTCCTTCAGACGATGTGTGTACTGCCCCTGGCCAGAATAACCCTTACACCCCTCGGACTGGCTTCCTCACTCTCCCTCTTCAGATCTTCGAGCTAGGTGAGCAACTACACGGAGGACTTCATTCCTTGTCCCCGGAATGGAACAACTCGCTGTGGGCAACTCCCCGTGGCATCTCTCCGCGGCCGTCTCCCCGTGGACAATTCCACGCGGGATAACTCCATGCGATAAATGTTATCCACCCCGTTTCTTCGACATTGCTTCCACTGACAAAAGTGGAAATAATGTTGAAGAACCAATAGTGGATACCATTGATTGCGTTGACTTATCCCGTGTGGAATTGTATGCGGTCAGTTGTCCCACAGCAAGTTGGATTCAGCCATGGCGAGGTGGCCACAGTGAGTTGTCCTAGACCCCGTTGTCCTCCTTCTTGAAGGCAAGATTCCATCATGCTATTCTTTGCTGTGGTTTTTTTCCCTGTATGAAATCGTTGTGCTTTCTCTCTTCTCTAGAAAAGAAGGCATTTTCCCACGCTGAGCTCAAACTAGTACACTGCAATCAATTTTTTTTACAATTGACTCAGATTTCTTTATTTTTTCTCTTTGAAGCATGCCCTCCGTTCTTTGTATGAAAAGGTGTAGTTTTTTGAACCAAGAAAAACGATCTGGAAAGATGTAGAGACTCTAGAAAGTGTGCAGAGAAGAGCAACAAAGATGATTAGGGGACTGGAGGCTAAAATATACAAGGAACGGTTGCTGGAATTGGGTATGTCTAGTTTAACGAAGAGAAGGACGAGGGGGACATGATAGCAGCCTTTCAATATCTCAGGGGCTGCCCCAAAGAAGAGGGAGTCAAGCTCTTCTCCAAAGCGCCTGAAGGCAGGACAAGAAGCAACAGGTAGAAACTAACCAAAGAGAGAAGCAACCTAGAACTAAGGAGAAACTTCCTGACGGTTAGAACAATTAACCAGTGGAACAACCTGCCTCCAGAAGTGGTGAATGCGCCAACACTGGAAGTTTTTAAGAAGAGACTGGACAGCCATTTGTCCGAAATGGTATACTGTAGGGTTTCCTGCCTGAGCAGGAGGTTGGACTAGATGACCTCCAAGGTCCCTTCCAACTTTATCATTATTATTATTATTATAACACACAAAAATCCATGGAGATTCTCAGTCCTCCTGATCATGGTTGTCCCAAGCTGCTTTTTCAAGAGGCAACTGGACTTACTTTGTTTTTCTTTGAAGA